ATAAATAAACGAAAACGAGGAACTCTTTTTTTATGTTACCCCGCCACGCGACGGCGGCAGTGAGTTTGAAAAAGGATGTCTCCTTGTATCGGACCGCGGCGAACCTGAACCAGAACCGGCGCGCCTGCCAAACAGCGCTGCAGTTTCAACCCCACCTTTCCTATCATATTTGCTTGCCTTTCTTCGAATGCATGCAAATAGGGTTTATTCGCGCGCTGAACTATCACCCAGAGCTATCACCCAGGCAACGTTGCACCCGAGGTACATAATTCGTTCATGGCGCTGCTCACGGTCGGGGCCAAGGCCTCCGCTCCCCCTCCCCTAAATTGACGGTGCAGGGGAGGCTACGTGCTCAATTGCCTGCCTACGTGCTCAATTGCCTGCTACGAGCTCAATCAATTGCCTGCCTCTGATCATTGACCTTGCTCTCCGCGAGTGAGTAATATACGAGGGGGTGTAATCAGGTGGTGCGGCCGTTTTTTGAAAGCTGGATAGAAGGGCACACAAAGCGCACCACGTTGCAAACACCTCCACCTTAAGGCCCTCTACAAGTTTTCAATTGACACCTTTACCCTTAAATCATTATTTTAAAGGTTAGCTGATTACATCTATTTCAATAAATAATTAGACTCAATACAACAATTACTGGCTCATTACTGGCAAGTAGTTTGCTTCCTATTTACTATCAAAAAGCGATGTGGTCAAGGAATAACAGAAACTGTTTTCTTGCAGAAAGTAAGTTTTAACTGACTGTTTTTTTACCCTACAACTACGTTTATGAGAATAACGTAAAGTCTTGTTTTTTTACCGAGAATTTCAGTTTCTATGGACTATTTTTTTACCAAATCAATCTGTTTCTTATAAATAATGTAATCTCTGTTTTTTCACAGAGAAGTGTGCCTGTAGTTTAGCTTAACAGAACCGCTTTGGTATTTTTACCGAAACTTTCTGGATATTTTCTGTTGTATTACATACATTTTTTACAGTGTAAGTAACGTACGTAGGTTATCAGTTACTGTTCTAAAATGTAAGAGTATCTTATTAGCCGAAAAAGCTGATTTGTTACCGACCATACTGCAAGCAATAAATTGCTTCCAAAATTAAGCTTGTCTGCGAATGAGCTATAGTCGTGCCTCGCATGTTTTAAATATGATACGCACTATTTGAACGTGGGCAGTGTCTTAAAAGGTGTATGTATGGTGGTGGAAAACTTTTTTTTATTTTGTGGTTGGGCACATGAAACGCTGCCGACCCATTTTGTTGTCATACCTACTGGATTATTACAGTAATGAAAAAAAAAATCGCAACAGCGTATTTTGATCTAGCGATCACAACTTTAGAAGCAGCGCTGCGTTTTATGATGACCGGAGAGTGCGCTATTTCCAGTCCCATCCTTTCAGACGGGCAACCCCTACTGAAAAAAACAAAACAAAAAAAAACATGCGAAATTCAAACAAGTGGGAAACTGGTCGACCCGTTTGAATCAAATAGATGGCGAACCTGTCGATTCGTTTGGATCAAACGTGATTATGGGATACGGGTACCCGTTTTGATACGGGTGCCCTTTCCACCATTCACGTGACCACACATTTGAACGCGCCATTCGGATAGGCAAATTATTCGCGAGCCCTAAATGGGTATCGTCTGGAAGTTTGGTTATCTTAAACCTATTTAAGACGCCCCGAAACTCATAGACCTATATCTAACATAGAGGAAATACGTGGAAAAATCGTGCTCGCGCAGGTGCTTGCAAATAGGCAGGCAAACAGACACAAAAGATTGTTTTCAATTCGCTTAGAAGTTTATTACAACTTATTCCATGGACAAGTACAAACGTGCAAGCGATCTGTGAAATGTGAAGAGGCACTCTAAGCTTTTCTACAGCCGAGGTAATTTCAGACTATATGGCAGACTTTTGGGGAAATTATTCTCCCGGCCGCCGCGAGACTGGACACTGCATAGTTCTATGGCTAATCTGGAAGAGAACGCGTAGAAGAACGGTCAATCGTTGCCAACAAGTAGGTTGCAGTGCACTCACCATAATAATAGCTGACCTAACGATGTAATCCAAAATATATGTCGACATGGTCAGAGCAGGACAACCACACAAACACAAAAACGAGAAGGAAGGCTCCTTGAAGTTTCAACACGATGCGGCGCACAAGTTGTCATTTGCCGAACCCAACCAAACCGCAAGAATTCCTGACTTCTTTGAAGAATCGCTTGCTGCCGATAAACGCGTAGGACTTTTCAAACACTGACAGCTTTGGTGCGCATCCAATACGTTGTCGAGAGACCTTCTAATAAGACTGGAGGGTTCGACGACAGACCGAAGCAGGTTGGACAAGCGAAGTTCGAATTGCAACTGAAAACAAGCAGACCAAGAAAAACGCGGCTGCCAGGCGCGCCCTTCCGGATCTCGATGCTTATCAGCATGTAGCTCGCGCGCTGCTGCGGGTCACGGGACAGAGCTCACTAGAAGGCAGGGAGGGGGCGAGGTCAAGGCGCAGGACACCGGGACACACCCACCCTTCTATAAAAATAAAAAGAAATCTCGGTTAATTTTTTTTTTTTTTTTTTTAAGTTGCGGTTTATGTTAAGGGTGCACCAACCGCTGTACCGCTGTACACGCGCTTTCCTCCTCTCTTCGAATGGTCACAGAAAGCTGACCACGCCGCGTTTGCAGCCTTGGAAAGCAGGCGAAATTTTTCAGCGCGAATAAAGGTCCATGCACACATTCACGTTTGAACGCGTTTGAGTGCGTTGCGGAGTCCTTGCGGCCAGGCGCGGTCGCTTGCGGAGCGACTTGCGCCTTCCCGCAACGCTCGGTAGCGCGACGCAAGCGAGTAGAAACTCGCTCAACTTTGCGAAGCGTTGCGGTGCGTTCGGGTGTGTTCGACCAATCAGAAGCCGCAAGAGGAGATGGGGTGACGTGTTCGCTCGTCCCACCGGGCCGACTCGGCGAGACGTATCCGGTTCGCCGGTCGCAGTGCTTGCTTTTTCGTTTTGGGGAGCGGTGGGGACTGTATTTTCCAAGGCTGCGATGGTTCAAGCTTGACAAAACGTCGGAGAAGCCGGCGAGATTGCCCAAGATCGAACACTTCGACGCTGTCACTGTGCGCCGCCATGTTGCCTTGGATTTCGCTCACTATTTGTGAGCCATTAGCGACGATAGCGCGTTCTTATTCGCTCTTGACTGCGGTTGACTGCGTGTCAACGCAACTGTGCGTACAAGTTTGGCGCAAGCGGTCTTCGCAACGCAACGCGTCCGCTTGCAGCTACGGAACGCACCGCGCTCAAACGCGAATGTGCGTATGGGCCTTAAGCGCTCGAAATCGCGGGCGCCGGCCTGAAGCTCGGCTTGCGCCCGAGCGAAAAAAGCACACAGCGCGAGCTCGTAATTTGACTGCTGCAACAGCGGGCCCCGCTATCGCAATGCTTGATGTTTGTGCAACCACGTGTTCGCGCGTTACCTTCGGCGAGTCTTGAATTGAGGCGAAACGGAGTCAAGAGGTATATTCTTTCACGCGGTCGCGTCCTCGGCGAGAGACATTCGAGCTGAATAAGTAAATTGAGGCCACAAAAACGCCAGGGTTTTAAAATTCTGTCAAAAAATCGCTGCAACAACGTCGCATGTTTACGTAAAAAAAAATGTTTATTGTTGTTGCAATATAAGGAACATCAGCGGAATCTAAATATAAATATTATTACTTGCATTACGCGGACGATTGTAAATCGATGAACCTGCGCTCTTGGCTTTCCCGAAACAAACTGCCACTGCTGAAACTGGCGTGCCCATGCTCCCGGTCTGCACGTTCAGTATTAGACGGGCTCCGGAGAGCCGTTTGATTAAACCGGTACAGTGTGCTGGTCACCGGTCACCCGTCTGTGGAACATGGTCACCGGTTTGAGCAAACGTGCGACAATTTTGCCCAAACGAGTGACCCATTTGCCGAGACAACTGACCGGCTTGCCAAAGAAGTGACCTGTTTGCCCAAATCGGTGACCGTCATGGCTCATTCGGGGGACCCCTTTCAGCCTTTCGGGCGACCCCTTTGACAAAATGGTGGCCAGTATGGCAAAACTGTTAACGATATGAACCCGTTTACTTTCATGTAGGCTCCAAATGTTATTTTTTTTTTTCAGTACGGACGCCATGTCAGCGTAGCACTAACCTCTTTTTCCTGTCGTTTTCTATTTTTCTATCCTGATTTCTAAGCTTCTACAGCTGGCGAGGCCTTCTCGAAGCGTCTTGAACCCCTCCCTCCTTCTTCACTTTTGTTCGTTACACAGTTGCTCTGGGTAGCTGGCGGAGCTATCGGCGCAGGTGTTCGAGAGTCGGCCACAGTTCACTCACTTTTTTTACGGCAAAGTCAGAGTTAGCTTAAGTAAGAAGGAAAATTAGCAATAGCATCACCAGAGAAGCAATGCATCTACGCAAAGAACTGCCTTCTGAAGGAACCATTAATGTAATAGAGGAATTTTGTTTATAGCTATAAAATAGAGGTGGCAGCGCCAATCGCGCCGGTTAGTATTTATGCATTCAATAAGATTTCCAACAAAGATATTCTCAAAAGGCCAGCCGAATCGCAACAGTCTGTCATTCGACGTGTTTGTTTGGCGTTCTATTGCAGCTTTTAGAGCAGTTATGGTGCCTGGTGGGAGTCTCCATCTGGTGTGTCCACCGCGTAGTCGAAAATATGGTCCTTCGATTTCCACCCGCTGACGTTATAGACGTGTCTTGTTGTCACCGACTGCTGTCCTGGTGGTGTCGCGGCATATATATATATATATATATATATATTATTTATTTATTGCTTAGAAGAGCGCGGCGCCGTTTCCAACCATGATGACATAACAGTGTAGAGATGAATTTTAAAAAAAAATACAAATGGCGACGACGGTTAAAATGAATCTTGTGGACGAGCGTCGGTCGAACGCAGGTTTCCAGTGCCGTGATTTAGCTTTCTTTGATACATATTTTCTTCTTCGTTTTGCAGTCACACAAAGGAGACTGTTCTGAGGGACCCCGTTCTTTCTTTATACACGCGAGCCACGCCAGATGGGTGGATTCCCCGTTCCGTAACAATTTCGTCAAAGACAAAGTGGCAGGTAAGTGTTATTACCTCATATTGCCTTTCAAGGAAGCATTAAGGTAACGAATCTGTCTTGAAGACCATGTATAGTGTTTAGTGTGCGATATTGTGAGCGGGAGCTCGACATCGGAGATTTTTCAAGTTTAATTTTGAAAGCCTTTTTTAACACACCAAGGGATACCTCTTAGCTTAGTGTTACTGCTTAATATTATACCCCATTTGAGTATTTTTGCGACAGCCCTTAGGTCGTATGTCACAAACAAAACGCAAAAATCCGACGATCGCTTGTTCCTGCTAACGATGTAGCCCACTGTTCCTCAACGCTTATTTTAAATAAAACGAGAACCCTTATGAATTTATTTTTAATATATATGCGCATGGTATAGGTGGATGTCACTTATGCGTTGGACTTCCGATTCTCTTTTGCGTCCTAGTTATGGCTTCAGTATGCCAAATTATGGCGTACTGAATTATGGCTTCAGTACGCCAAATAATTCGGACTAAAACATGTTTTTAGTGTGTGATTTTCAGTTCTCTACAATTATTGGATGTCAAGCAAAGATGTCTGTCGTTAAAAAAGTGCCACCCGAGGTGGATATTTAAATGCTGTCAGTCGATTTTATCTAATTTGTTCACTAATTGTCAATGTACACTAATTCACGAACGGTCGATAGCCCTATTCCAAAGGAATTATATCGTTATTTGAATTGCAATATAACGGAGAGGTGTGCCAGCTGGTGCATTTTGCGGAAATAAAAGCGTCAGGCAGCGGGACAAGAAAGGCGAGGCAAACAAAGCGCTTTGTTTGTCGTACCATTTCTTGTCTCGCTAGCTGGCGCTTTTATTTTGGCTTTATTTGAAGTGCCATTTGTACATATTTCTGCCGTTGAGGAAACGCGCTGTATCTTTATTGAAAATGATGCAAGCACCATCGTACATGGAGCATACCAATGAAAAAAGAAGCATTTTGTCCATGATTAGGTGTAAGGTAGATGAAAGTGTAGGTACAATCTTCTAACCTTGAAATATCGTTGGCGAAAGAAATTTATTAATTTTTTTTTGCTTTAACTTGATTACCCCTATGAATCGATCAAGGTTAGAAAAGAAAAGAAATTTTAACTTCCAAAAAACAACCCTAGCTCATCTACCAGGTTGCATTTTAATCGCAGAAATTAACCTAAGTAATTTGTTGCTATCCTGATTCGCGCAGTAATGCCACCGGCCAGATAAAATAGTGAGCTCTCAGGCCGCAAGAGGCATGTTTTACGTGACTCTACAGGCATAACTTTGACTTGTCCCATTGGAATTGTTTCTAATGGGGCCGTCACTTATATAGAAAGATGAAATAATGCAATAGCAAACGCAATGTTATGCCTACTTCTGAATCTCTGATTGGTTTTAATTCACTGCGGTTTGTTTATGAATCCGGTGCCATGTTTTGCGCATGAAATAAGGAACCGCAAACTCCAACCCCAAACCGGATTTATAAAAATAATGGGGAAATCACACACCTTTAGACTTTTCTGTAGAGGGAAATGAGAGCGCTGTTTTTGAGAAAGGTTTATTTCCCGAAATACCATGGTAAAAAATTTTAGTTTGAGGGTGGACGAGAGAAATGGAGGGTACGGTGGGGCCCCTCTTTGGGGTAGGCGAGAGGCCCTGATGGGCGGCAGCGGTTTCGCCGAGGGGGTAGGCAAGCGACGGGGAGGACGGTGGCGAGAGGCGTGAAGCCGCATTTTGTAAAGCGATGGCGTGCGACGTCCCATACCGGAACGCGCGCAGTGTGGCATTCTCGGATGTCACATAACATTAAACCAATCCAGCTTCTCCGCTAAATTTAGCGCGGAAGTTGAATTGGCCGACAGGTATGTTACGTCACATAATGCAGCACGCGCAGGGTCGCATTAAGGGACGTCACTGACCTACACACCAATTCAGTTTCTCGGGTAAATTTAGCGGGGAATGTTATTGGCGTATAAGTCTGTGATGCCCGGTAATTCAACGCACGCAGTTTTGCATTATGGAACTCTTAGGCGGTCGTTCCCGCATATAGCGATTACCCCGACAGCGACGCCTGTGGCAAGAGACATGGAATAAAGAAGAACGAAGCGCCGGCGACACACGCGCTTGATGTGTAGAGCCCAGCGGACATGGCCTTGTCTCGTCCTTTCTAGATATTGCTACACGGCGTCTGAAGTGACTGGGTGGTAGAACAGAGTTTGTCCATGAACACGCCAAGCAGTTCACGAGAGTCTTCCGCTGGGGCGAGCCAGGGGAAGAGGCCGCAGCGGCATCTCGGACAGCGATGTACGCTCACACCATCACCCCACCGTCAACGTTCGATTTCCACAACCCAGGCGACTGGCCAAGGTGATACACCAAGCTCGTCAACGCCGATGAGGGCGAACAGGTAGATGCTCTTGTATATTTCCTCGGAGATGACGCCGAAGATGTTCTCGAGACATCGACCCTCTCGGACGACGATAAACAAAACTTCAAGAAAGTGTCGGACTTGTTTCATAATCACTTCGTGGGAAAGTGAAACGTCATCTACGAACGAGCGAAAATTTATCAAAGAAAGCAGGAGAATGGAGAGTCGGTAGAATCGTTTATAACCAGCCTACATCACCTGGTAAAACATTGTGACTACGGCGTTCTGAAGGGCGAACTGGTTCGGGATCGCTTCCTAGTCGGACTGTCAGATGACTCCCTTTCTGAAAGCCTGCAGAGAGACCCCAACCTACACTAGAAGTTGCAGTCACACAAGCTCGACAGAAAGAAGCCGTGCACAAGCAACAAGCAGTGGGCCGAGGGCACAGGCAAACAGAACAAGAGGAGATGGTCGTCAATGTCCTTGGTAAAAGAGAAGAAAAATGGATGACTCCGTGCAGTTCCGAGTCAAGAAATGACACGAAAACTCCTACCTGCGGAGAATGTAGCAAGCAGGCGCATACAACTCCGAGTGTCCTGCAATCAGTTCCAAGTGCCTAAACTGTGGCAGACGAGGACATTGGACAAAGGTATGCGGGATAAAGTCTATGCAGCAAGTAAACCTGGAGACAGATCAAGAAGAATGGGTGCTCGGAAGTGTTAAATCTTCTGCTGGTCTTACTTGGAGAGTCCCACTCAAGGTCAATGACAAGGTCGTCCAGTTCAAGATTGATACAGGAGCCGACGTCAGTGCCATACCGGAGGATGCGGCATCGAGCTTCAAAAACCTCCAGCCTACTGCGGCCAAATTTTCGGACCCGGAAGGCAGATGTTAACAGTCATTGGGAAGTTCCGGGCCACAATTCAATGTGTTCAACAGCTGATACATAAGGACGTCTATGTTGTCACGAACCTTGACGAACCGCTGCTGGGACGTGAAGCTAGCACAGAACTTGGACTTATCAAATTCATGCACTCAGTCACCGACCCCACTATTGCCGGTTATCACCAGAAATATCCGGAACTTTTCAGAGGTATTGGAATTATGAAGGGGGAATACAAGATCAAGCTAATGGATAATGCCACACCGATTTCAGTAAACACGTCCCATCGTGTACCCTTGGCTCTCATATTAAAATTTGAGGAGCACTTGAGAAAAATGTTAAAGGACGGGATTATAAAGCGAGTAGAAGAACCCACCGCGTGGTGGTCTGGAACGGTACACTCTTAAAAAAAAGGGTACTGTAGTACCCTCCTTGAGGGGGGAAAAAGACGAGCACACAGGGCAACCCCTTTTGGAGGTAACGTTACCGCCTGCAACGAGGGAGCAAACTTACCTCCTTGGTTAGGGTGCAACATTGCCTCCTTTTGGACGTAACCTTAGTTCCTTTTGGTGTTAAAAGTGCATCCTTTCAGGGTCAGGCTTTACCTCCTTTAGGGGGTAATTTCAACCCTTTTGAGAGGTAAGACGACGTAATTGAGGGCGCTGCTTTTACCTCCTTTTGGAGGGAGCTATGATCCACTTTGGTGGTTAAATGTACACGACGAGGAAAACTGCTCAGAAAACGCGCACTACGAGGAACAAACACGACAGGACAGTGCTGTCCTGTCGTGTTTGTTCCTCGTAGTCCGCGATTTCCGAGCTGTTTTTCCCATCATGTATAACAGCAACCAACTGGCCCAGTTCACCCCCTAATACAGGTTAAATGTACACTTGATGGAATCACTTTTGCCCCCTAAAACAAGGTACTATGGCCCTTTGTGGGTGTGATAGTACATGTTTCAATGGTTGGCCTTACAATAGATGAAGACGGCCTAGTTCTGAAAGTAAATGACAATGTTTTATTGTGGCTGTCACGGACAAAATGGCATAAAAATCAATGGCATGACAATACATTTTAAAAAAGTTCTAAGATGAAACCACTAAGCGCAATAAAGGCATCTGGAACAACACTTACGGGGCTCTAGTTCGCGACAGTCAATAAAATTATCACAAAAAGTACATAAACAATCGGTGTCTACCCGGAAAATAACAGTGAATGCTTGGAACACTGCTTGGAATAGCGAAGCTTCACTGGGGTGAACTCAAATGGCTGAGTTTTGTACAAACCAGAATCAAAATGAACGCACTGTGATATAAAATAGATTCTTTATCACATATATTGCAAACAGCAATACAAACCAATACACGACTAGCAATGACTAGTACGTTGCAACTCAAGGAGAGCAGTACACTATGCCCGTCCTATCCACAGTAGTGGAATGAACGCTGGAGTAGAGGAAAGCAGACTCCGGGATTTGCTCTTCCAATGTGGAAAGAAGAAAGGGCTTGTATCTCCTGCTGCTAATGAGCTGTATTTAAACCTTGCAAGCACAAATCAGTGTGAACATGGAACCACAACCCTCGAATGCTTTGAGGCACCAAGTATGAAGTACACTGAAATAAATTAAGTATGCCAATGCTGCACAAAGGAAAAAGCTGTGAGTTCGGAAATTACAAAAATGTGACTCTAAAGCAATATCATTGACCTTCTGTAACTCTCAGAATCAACCATCCTGCCTTATGTCAGACAAAAGAAAAGCATT